GTATGTATGTATGTATGTATGTATGTATGTATGTATGTATGTATGTATGTATGTATGTATGTATGTATGTATGTATGTATGTATGTATGTATGTATGTATGTATGTATGTATGTATGTATGTATGTATGTATGTATGTATGTATGTATGTATGTATGTATGTATGTATGTATGTATGTATGTATGTATGTATGTATGTATGTATGTATGTATGTATGTATGTATGTATGTATGTATGTATGTATGTATGTATGTATGTATGTATGTATGTATGTATGTATGTATGTATGTATGTATGTAATGTATGTATGTATGGTTGTATGTATGTATGTATGTAATGTAATGTAATGTAATGTAATGTAATGCAATGCAATGCAATGTAATGTAATGTAATGTAATGTAATGTAATGTAATGTAATGTATATATGTATTTATGAATGAATGAATGAATGAATGTAATGTAATGTAATGTAAGGTAATGTAATGTAATGTAATGTAATGTAATGTAATGTATGTATGTTACGTATGTATGTATGCATGCATGTATGTATGTATGTATGTATCCTTGCACTTCCCCTTTGCTCCCCAGTATTTCCCGCAAAAAGCACGGTTTTTCCAGCGTTTTCGCAAAGAGGACGTCCAAAAACATTGAGTTTTTTTTCAGATTTTCGGCAAAAGGATGCAGGAAGCCCGAGCCAGCAAAAAAGCCGGCAGGGGGAATCGAGCCTGGTACCCCTGTTTTGCTCCCCGAAGACTACGTTTAGTGGAACGTCATCAGATTGCCACGCGGCACGTGGGGGACCCCCCCACCCCCCCCCCCCCCACAAAAACCTACGTATTTGACATCGGGCGGGGGGGGGGGGTAAAAGAAAAAAATATCCTCTATCCTCTAATATGTATCCGACACGCCGAACAATGTCGGCGGATATCGAAGGAAAATAAGTCCCTGATAAAGATCATATTGATATCAATACAAACTAAAAAGTGAGGAATATACATATACAGAAAGTTCATGCAATTTGTTATGGTCGGCTTCTTCTCCTCAAACTTGAGGCGAGGTCACAGCAAGGCCTGTAGACACTACATTTGTTGAAGGCAGGCCAAAAGCAACTTTGGTTGGTTTTCTTGCCATGATTTGCCCTAGGACGAGAACACCTCAAAGTACACGAAATACGTGTTGTTGCTTTCTTGCGTAAGGATGATACTTGGGGCACCAGGTCCTTCTTCAAGCTGCTGGATGCTGCTGGGGACGGGGCTGTGGATCTGGAGGATTTCTTCGACGGGTGTTTGCGCTTCCGCGGGCCTGCGCGGGCCATGGACATGGGCCGCATCATGCAGGACCAGAGGTGCTTGAGTGGGGCGGATTTGGGGAGGTGCGATTTGCCCTGAACGTCAACGCAGTGGGACTGGAAGAATCCCTGATGTGGTGGGGGGGACGCGTGGATACCGCATCATGCAACCGACGGCATGTATCCTCTGATTGGCATGGGCAGGGCCGCCGGGATTCGATGATGACATCTGCACGGTATTGGTATGTAGTCCGTAACGTGGAGTTGGCATGGCTTTTGCCTGTTTCATTTGGCTGCTGAGAGTTTGACGCCTTGCTCCCCCTTGATCCTTTCTTCTTATGTTTCTGCAGCTTGACAGATGGTTTTTGCGCCAATTACCACTGGCCTTTGTTGATTCGCTTCGTCTTCATGTTTTGATGCTTGTCTCACGCTTCCAGATGCTCTTCTTTGGAGCTTCTCTTCGTTGTGTACATGCTTATCTCTTTGCTTTTTGCTGCTTGATGACTTGCTGGCGTGCTAAAGTTCCAGCCTTAACTTCAATTGTGTTCTTCCTTGTTTCTTGTGACGTTTCATCGATACCCGGCACGCTTTTCGGGGATGAAGGCTTGAGATTCTTTTCCGGCACTTTTTTCATTCACTTGACAAGCCGTTGGTTTGTCGTGCATTGCGCAGGTGGTTGATCCGAAGTCAGGGAAGATTTCAGACCTTTGTCGGGCGCGAGCTGGTTTCCCTGAAGAGCGATGTCACAGGCCGCGATGCAGAGTGACGCTTGAGTATGACGGGGGGACATGTTGCGCCCATATAGAGCGCCTTTTGAGCACCTTTGCACCTGTGTCAAATTGCAACTGTGTCGTGTGATGTGAGCACAAGTCTGCCGCAAGTGCAATGGTGAAACTTGTGAACGATGTTTTCCGGGACAAAGAGCAGGCTTGACCGATTTTGTCTCCTCGCTTCTCAAAAACTACCAGGCTTGCAACCTCCTTGCTCTTGCGTTGGGTGACAAGCTGTTAGGCGCTCATGACTAGGTCAAAAGGAGCACGGCTATTGCGGCTGACTGCTAACCCAAGTGACTTTCCCTTTGCGTTTCCATCACTTTGAGCAGCGCTACTCCTTGCATGGATATCATCACACACGCATACCGACCCCGCGGCTCTTCTAAGCTGCGGCGGCGCCAGGGAGGTCCAGGGTGAAATCGAGCCCCCAAACTGTAGCCGACATACCCCCTGCCAAAAAAGAAGGAAGGGAGCCGAGGCAGATCGCATGAGCTTGATGCGGAGGGCCTACCGAAGCAATTGAATTCCATGCAAGAGAACTAGAGATGAAACAGTCAACACTCCCAGCATCAACAACGCATATGCAAAGCTCCTGATGCCCAGCCACGACCCAGCAAATGCCTTGGTGCCAGCATAACAGAGCTGCTGAAGTCGAGCCCGCTCGAAGATGTGACAAGAAGCCACCCTTCCCGCTTGCCTTCTCTTTTGCAGGAAGGGGTTGGCGGATATGTGTGTGTCTGTGTGCGTGCGCGTGCGTGTGTCGAGCCTTGATAGTGTAGTCAAAGTGGTTGCACCCACACAAGGACGGGGAGTCTGACACTTGCAGAACCATTTTGGTGGCAGTCTTGAGACCAGCTCATTCACATCGTGCTACGAGACAACGAGAGGACAAAGTGAACCTTTGGCACGCCCACACCCATCCACCCACCCAAGCACAATTTCAAACACAAACGCGTACACATACACACAAGCAAGAGGAGATAAGCACAAAAGCATAAACACAAAAACATACACACAAACACAACCGCACAAACACAACCACACAAACAGAAACACACACAAGCAAGCACAAACAAACACACAGACAAACAATCACAAACACAAGCACAAGCACAAACACACATACAATCTCTGTGTGTGTCTGTGTGTTTGGGGGCAAGTGTGTGCGTTTGTGTGCGCGTTTGTGTGTGTGTGTGTTTGTGTGTGTGTGTGTGTGTTTGTGTGTTTGTGTGTTTGTGTGTTTGTGTGTTTGTGTGTTTGTGTGTTTGTGTGTTTGTGTGTTTGTGTGTTTGTGTGTTTGTGTGTTTGTGTGTGTGTGTGTGTTTGTGTGTGTGTGTGTTTGTGTGTTTGTGTGTTTATGTGTTTGTGTGTGTGTGTGTGTGTGTGTGTTTGTGTGTGCTTGTGTTTGTGTGTGTGGGTTTGTTTGCGTGTTTGTGTTTGTGTGTTTGTGTTTGTGTGTTTGTGCTTGTGTGTCTGTGTGTCTGTGTGTCTGTGTGTCTCTGTCTCTGTGTCTGTGTGTCTGTGTGTTTGTGCGTCCGTGTGTCTGTGTCTGTGTGTCTTTGTGTCTGTGTGTCTGAGTCTGTGTGTCTGTGTCTGTGTTTGTGTGTTTAAACGCACAAACACAAACACACTAACACACAAACACACACACACAGAAAAAAACACACACACACACAAACACAGACACACAAACACAACACGCAAACACAAACACACACACACACACACCCAAAAAAAGGCACACAGACGCACAGACGCACAGACACACACACACAAACACACAAACACAGAAGCGCACAAGCCAACACACCCAGACACACAAAAACAACCACACGAACACAGAAACACACAAACACACAAACACAAACACACAAACACACAAACACACAAACACACAAACACACAAACACACAAACACACAAACACACAAATAACAAAAACACAAACACAAAGACACAAGCACACAAGTACAAGCACACAAACACACAAACACACAACCACACAAGCACACAAGTACACAAACACAAGCACACAAACACACAATCACAGGCACAAACACACACAAACCAAACACACACACACAAGAACAAATACACAATCACACAAACAAAGACACACAAGCACAAGCACAAAAAACAGAAACACAAACACAAAAACACAAAAACACACACGCACACACACACACAAACAAAAACACACACACACACACAATCCAATCACACACACAAACGCACATAGGCACACCGAGACACATACAGACACACACAGACACACAGACACACAGACACACAGACACACAGACACACAGACGCACAGCCACACAGCCACACAGACACACAGACACACACACACAGACACACAGACACACAGGCCCACGCCCACGCCCACGTCCACACCCACACCCACCCCACACCCACACCCACACCCACACACCCACACACCCCCACACACACACACCCACACGCACCCAGACACACACACACGTGCGCACGCACGCACGCGCGCACGCAAGCACGTGCACACACCCACGTGCACACACACACACATGTATATATATATATATATTCACACACACGCGCGCAAGCACATACACACGGAAACACATATCACACACATAGCACACACATGCACGCAAACAGACATCACACACATAACGCGCACACACACACACACACACACACATACATAACACAGACGTAACACACATAACACACACACACACACATAGCGCATAGCACGCCGCCCGCCCGCCCGCCCACCCGCCCGCACGCACGCATGCATGCACTCACTCACGCACTTACGCACTCACTCACTCTCACACTCACGCACTCACGCACCCACGCCCGTACGTACCGACGCACTTGCGCACTCATGCACTCATTCTCCTCACGAACTCAACGCATCAATCCTCATCAACCAGAGCTGTGAATGAAGTGTGGACGTCCTTATTACGAGCATGTGTACGAGCATGCGTTCTACTTGTGTCATGCGGAACTAGAGCTTTTATGCCCGTTTGTGCCGGTTTGCCACTCTCGCCCAGACTTGCTGCAGCACCTGGCCATCAAGACCACTGCGAACCAGTGGGCGCCGTCTCAGTGGAAAGCGCCGTGAGAGCCACACCCCAGAGTGTGGCTGTAGTGAGAGAAGCACTTGTTCTGTCAAGACTCAGAGTTATTTCAGGGAGCGATCCTAGGATGCGATGAATGTGCTTAGCCTGCTTGTCTTCCCAAGATGTCTCTGACTTTTGAAGAGGGCCATGCAGATTCAAGCGCTGCAGAACCCGATTTCACCCACAGAGAAGGGCTTGAGCCCAAAGTGCTTGATGGCTTCATTTGAATTCGAGGTTTTCCGGCGGCCAGAGTCCCCAACGGGACTGGGGGTGGGCAACCTTCAGTTTTGATCTACTGTAAATCATCAGAATGCCACACTCTGTTTGCGCGAAGAGCTCCGCTTGAAAGCAATGCCGACAACCCTAAGGAGTGTCCTGCCCAATACGCCTGCCATGACTGAATCAACCTGCTTAAAGCAGCGAATCATTTTCCTTAGGAGTTTCGGGTGGAGGCATGCAGCCTCCCTGCAATGCTAAGCCTGCAACATGTTTTTCCCGTTCAAGGAGTGTTTGTTGATGGATAAGTGGCCCTTAGTTGAATCAAAAGATGGAATTCATTTGGGAGAGTTCCATTGATGACAGCGGGCGGCTGAGTTGGCCTCTAGATAGCGCAGCTAGTCTGTTCCAGTGGGTGTGCCGGGATGCAACAGCCGCAAAAGTGCGCCTCGTTTGAGATTCGCGGCATCTTGTTCTTCCCGGACTCATCGAAGTCCTATATGAGTACAGCATGAAAGAAGTTCGTGCCCCAACACCTCATCGCGAGTCTTCTTGAGGAGCAGGTGCCAACATGGCAAGGACAACCAGTTTCCCTCATTGCATTTAGTGCCAACTCAGAACACTACTTCCATGGCAACTCGCGCAACTTTGCAATTGAACAGGACTCTTTCAGCAAATTCTGAGGCTGGCACCAGAGCCAAACGACTCGCGGAGAGGGAAGTCCCCAGCTTGGGGACGCCAAATATGTGATGGCAAGTGCATGAAATCATGAGCTGCGGCACTTCCGTCACCACAAGTTGGCTTCTATTTCTCGGTCGAAGCAACCCCCATGACCCATGATGTTGGCAACGACCCATGTGATTGTTATGATGCACGAAAGACCTCACTAGGGCCCCTACCCATAGCACCGAACTGACCCACTAAAATGCATAGGTCAAAGTGCTTTGAGGGTCGAAGCTCTTCATGAGAAAGGCCCAGTCTGTGTGTGTGTATGTGCACGTGACCTGGGATAGGTGGCGTCGAAAAAGATGCGAGAAATGCAGTTGGCTGAGGGCATGGTGAGAAGAAACAATAAACGACTGTGATCATTGGGTTGTTCCCCTGTAGTTGCGGGGTAGCTGTACACACCCACCCACTAAGCCCTGCAGTTCTGCGTCTTCACCAATCACCTCAAAACGCCGGATCTTGCCAAACTCGAGTTATGTGCACGATTTCGGATATCACCCCATACTTTTGGTTTGCAGTTTTTTTAATCGTTGATTTGGGGTACGTCGTCTTTGACAAACACACATGTACTACAACAATGTAATGAACATACACTATATGTGTATATATATACACAGATGTATGCTTATGGGGCCCACTCCCAAACCTAACACAATTACCTTTTTGCCGCTATTTGTAGTGATACACGCATGTATGGTACGGTGTCCCGTGCCCCGTGTTCCCCCATGGGTGGGTTGGATTGCCAGGGTTGGATTGATTAAGGGTTGGTTGCCAGGATGCGGGTTGCTTAGTGGTTTAGGGATGGTGGGGGCCGGGGCGGCGGGGGTCCTGGGAGGAGGGCTTCCTGGCGAGACCATACCATGGAAGGGGGGGTACCTGTATGACCATGGGTGGGGGGGGGAAAGGGGGGGGGTATACCATATACGAGTCGTCTTTAAAGGTACCGTCAATTACTTTATGTAGCACATGATGTTTTGTTTTTGCTCGACAAAAACGATACGGGACGTCCAAAAAGACGGTACCCCAGAACGTGAGAAAGAAGCCACTGGACGTCCTAACGTCGGAATGAATACATCCCAGACAAGTAATTTTGACGCTGACTCATATGTTTTGTGTATATATACATATACACCTATACATATGTCATAGTCACAACACATATCATGTGTTCGCGCCAGACATTGCAAAATCACAGGGGGAACCGGGGTCAGACTTCGAACACCTCTACCTATGCGGAAGCGGCGGCATCCGCCAGGCGCAGCGTGCCGAGCAGATGGGCCCCGCTGACGGTGGCCAACATGGGGCGCAAGCCGAGGCGAAGGCCAACGCAATGAAGGAGACAGTGGAGCGGATCCATCAGAATTGACTGAAACTGGGTGTGGTTTGCAATGTGTAGCTTGTCCATCAGGGTACCTTTGAAAGGCATTGCCGTCCGACTGGCATAGTTTGGTGGACCAGCGAGCCCCAAGCTCATCGCACCACTTCGCCCTTGCTGTCTCAGGAGACTGCTGCGCGGGCCGACGCGGTTGCGCGGCTGCGGAATCACAAGAGCACTGGCCCGGGGCCCTGATGGGGCAATTTGGGCAGGGAACATGAGAATTGGGGAACTTCCAGAAATCCTCCGTGCCTCCCAGAAATTCTCACAGCATATACCATCATATACCTAGATTCCTAGATGCTGTACTTGGAGGAATGAGGAGCTGTGAAGCCTATTCCATGCACGATGTGAGCGACAACACATTAGGCAAAAAAACGCAAGGTTTCGTTCATCCATGCGCTATGCATCATGTTCCAGAATGAGGAGCTGACTTGTACCCATACATCAGAGGAATCTAAAGCAGAAGTCTTCCACTTGTCAATGAACGTCATAGGCTGCAGGTTGCATGCAGTGGAGGCATCCATAGGTTCTGCTGAGAGAACCTCCGCGTGGCCGAGATGTTGCACAGGTTTTGCTTGCTTCCAAATGGCTTGCCCATCGGGTCGGAGCCTTTGAAAGTGGCGCGCGTCTGAGGTTATCGGGCACGTGCGGAGCTCGATCTGGGGCTAACACCGCATTCTGTTGCGCAATCTGAACATCCACTCTTCCATGCTGTAGCGGTTGAAGGGAATGAGGGATGAGGATAGAATCAGACAAGATATAAAAGAAAGACCAGGCTGCACAAATATCTTGATTTACAGGCTGTTTGCATTATTATGTTCATCACTTTTCAACCGATACGTCGTCTGCCTTCAATGCCGCAATGAGAAATGGAGACAGTGCGACAGAAGCAAATGCAGTGCTGGAATTCCTTGCAAATCGACATGAACTTAGCTCGTTTCCCATCAAGAAAAAACACAGGTTTCACGCGGCATTTACACTCAGGGCATCCTCTCCGGGCTTTTGGCATTAGATATCAGGCCTTCAGGAAGAGCCGGAGTGGCCGCTGGCAGCTCAGGGGCGGAAGGTCTGCTTGGAAAGTGTATTATCCAAAAGACATTCATCAGTTTCTGCTCTATTTATTTGCATGGTTGCGATTTTCGATGTTTGCACTTGACAGACACACAGAGTAGGATGTCTGAGCCACTGTTGCAAGCGGTTCAAGCGGCATGACCTCCCTGCTGGGCAAGTATGGCAGACAACGGCACTAATGCACCACCCGCGGCTTATCCTGTGGCAGCAGTGCAGTAGTCGGTTGTCAGGAAAATGGCCATGTGGCGTGCACTTTCTTTCAGGCGCCATGTTCACCTCTTTGCGGATCAGTCGGCGCGGGACGTCACTCTGCGGACCCGCAAGGAGGAGATCTCCCTCAAAGAGGTGGAATGGACCGAGAATAAGAAGGGGGGCTTTGAGGTCTTTGGGGTCTTTGGGGTCCTTGAAGTCCTTGGAGTCTTTGAGGTCTGGGAGGTTTGCAGGGTTTGGGGGCTTGGGGTTTAGGGTGGGCGTTGGGAGTTGCCCTCGGGCCTGGTTTTTGAGAAGCTCCAAACATGGAATGTTGCGAAAAGGGCAAAACTTGACGTGCAAGAATCGAAGCGAAGTGTTTCTCCCTGAGCAGGCGGGTTGGGACAACCTTGTGACTCTAGTGGTGAGCGGAAGCTTCAGTGGAGGTGGCCATGCTGTTGGGGCACACTTCTTCCGGATTGAAAGTCCCGGAGGGTATCAGAGATCATCTCTGCCCAAGAGAGTTGACAACTTCCGAAACGGGCCCTTCAAGCATGCCGGACACTTTGAACACGCAACGCCTCCATGTGTCGGATTGTCCGATTCGCCAGGCTAGGGATGCCCTGGCACGAATGCCGCAACTGACTGACGAGGAAAAAGAGGCAGCCTTGGGCTGGCTGGATGGCATTCTTATGGAAGCCTTTTGAAAACTAGTTTTCCTTGGAATGACATGCTGTTTGCTGTGGGATTGTTGATGGGATGGTAAGTTGCTGCTTTCAATGGAAGCAGTTGATAGGAGAAGCTTGTGGCACGTGAGTGCACACGCGTCACAAAGTGCATGTCTTTGGGCGGGAATTGCTTGCGCATTGCTTGGAAAGACCTTGCAGAGGCTTCGGTGCCAAGGTTGGGCCTTTCAAATCCCAAAGCTATCGGCTTGGAAACTCTTGGCCAGGAACTTAGCCGCCGCAGCCAGGCGCAGGCAGGGAGCCAACTAGCCCCAGCGCGCGGCACAAACCAAAAGCCCCTTCGATGCCAAATAGTTCAATCTAGGTACAAAGAGTACAAAGATGCCATTGCCATTGCTGGACTTGTGCTACCAAAACAATCCTGAGCTGTTGGGGGCCAGTGGTGGGACTGTGGCCCCGTGGCGGGCCCGTGGGCCCGTGGGCCCGTGGCGGGCTCGCTTCGACTCCTTCCTCGAGGTGACGGTGACAACTTCACCTGGAAAAGTGAAGTTTCACTGGAAGTACTGCTACATGCTCAGTGGAATTGCGGCCATTGTGTTGTTGCGGTATTCTGTGCAGAATGGAAGCCCGTTTCCTTTGAAAGCCCTTTGTTAACATGATATTTTGCTTGCCGGGAGCCGTTGAGCATACACACTTGGTACTTGGAACGCATGCGTGCATGCACACATTTACACACACACATTGTTCATGTCTAAAATTTATGAACAGCGGCAACTTGTTGAACAGCGCGATTGGTAAAACGCGAGCCGCGAAAGGCCGGCGATTGGACCGCGAAAGGGCAACACAATTATATGAGTTAAGACGTTGCATGGTGTCGACGCACATCGCGCTGATTTTGACTGCGCGGGCTCGAGCAAGCGTTCCTTTGGAGTCTGAGAAGTTGATTTCGTTTGTGCAGGGCCAGACAGTGCTTTCCAAATCTGCTTGCTGGCAAGGTCTGGAAGCCGCAAACCGAAGTTTTGCCGCCGAATTCCGTGATTGGACCGCGATTGGACGGCGATTGGACGAGTTCCACCAGTGAGCCCCTGCCCATCCGCGCTACGTCGCCTCCTTCTTGTTTCCAGTTGTATGCAGGAAGGCCAGCGCTTGAGATAAGACGGCGAAACTCGAAACGGGCGATGCCCAAAGTTGCTCCGCGATTGGACCCTGCGGGACCGCGATTGGATCGCGATTGGCCGGCGATTGGGGGGTCCCCAAACAAAGTTACTTTTGTGCAACCCCCACATACACACATACACACATACCCACAGACACGCAGGCACACAGCACACAGACAAACAGTCACAACACACACACACGCACACGTACACATACACGCATACATGCGTACACGCATACACGCACAGAAATACACATACACACAGGCATGCATGCATGCAGACATACTTCCGCATACTTTCATTGTCCGGCAATAGTCATCATAGCGGCTTTGCTTTTCTAGGGGAAATTGTATGCCTGGTTGATCTTTGATAGGTTGTGATCAGCGTGTAGTACGGAATCTGCAACATGGAGCAGGCTGCTCATGGAAAAGCAGTGCTGGTACCCCAAAGTCGCATCATGACGCACCGAGTCCTTCACATTCATGTTTCTTGCGGCCGGTGAGCATAAATACCCTTCGCATATCATGTTCATAGATGTTCCCCACGACGTGGGTTAAAACAGTTGGTGGTGGCCCGCCCATGACTTGTTCCAGTAGCTGGAAAAATGGCGCTCGCAGGCGCCCGTATGGTTCATGCGAGATGAGGATATCCGAGTCAAAGCCGTGCCAGGCTCAGGCATTGGGCAATTTGTTCGATTTAGGACTAAACAGTGCAAGAGCTCTGGGTTTGCAGTTCGTTTGTTATGTGTGAAGGCATCAATTAGTGTGCATACCCACCCGCATCAACAGCAGCTGCAATGGATGGTCAAGGCTGTGTCATGTTTCATTTCAAGAGACTAATGCTGATCCTTTTTACATGCATGTGTTTTTTTGCAGGAAAAGGTGCCGGAGTGAGAGCGCATGGGCATTTGCGAGAGTGTGTCACCTTTGTGCTCAGCAGCCACAGAGCGTCGACATTTGCCCTATTTGGGAGTTGAGTTTCTGGACCCTAGGACCAAATTTCACTCAACATGCTTGAGTTCTGCAGTTCTCAAACGTGCACAGTGATCAGAGAATAAACAACAACTCTGGTGAGAACGCAGTGGCCTCCGCTCTCAGGCGCTCGCCTCTCACAGCGCATCGCAACTGGACTTGGTCCGGCTCGTAGAGGGATTGCGCATGTAGACATGTTTTGCTGTTTTGCTTTTGCTCAGGGGAATCCGGGAACATCACTGGCACTGCAATGAACGTCATGTGAGTCATGTTTGATGTTGCATGAATCCCCGAGCTGCTGTGGATGCGCGCACGGCCCCGCAGCAAGAAAGGCTCTCCACCTCGTTGGCCACCGTGCCATGAGACCGGACCGTCTCCATATTTTGGCCTTGGCCTTCCAGGGCGCATGGGCGCTTGCCTGCAACCGCAGCAGGGCCTTCGTGAAGCCACCTGTGGGGATGCAGATGGATGGATGCTGGGACGATGAGCTGCATGATTCCCTTGTCTTCCACCTGCACGTCCCCAAGGTGGCTGGCTGCTCCATGGTAGAGGATGTCACTTCAATGCCACGTGTTTGCATTGGAATTGTTAGCTTGGGAGGAGAACGTTCCTGGTTGATCAGACTGGCAGCTCTGGTGTGATGATAGTCACCAAGCAAAGACATTGTAATACAGTGACTCAAACATATTTTTGTTGAAAGCTGCCAGGGGCTTTGGCTGGTTGGAGTGCTGATGTCTTGAGGCTTTGTTGGAGCTACAATGATGAAATCCAACATTGTTCTTATCAAGGCTCCTTTCCACTTTATCAACATACATGAATTCATCCTGACCAAGGCCAACTCCCGTTGCCTTTGGAGCTCAAACAGAAGATTTAATTCAACAAGCTACCAAGTCCACATGCGGACTGGTCTGTCAGAGCGACTCAACGTGTAAGGATTGGCCGCACCAAGCTGTGGTCCAATGAGGTTTGCTGCCTGGCTTCAAGCAGAGCAGATAAGCCCCATTTGAAGTTTGACTAGAAGGACGCCCGCACAAGGCTCCTTGAGCAAGACAGTCAACATCGGTTAATGTTTCCTGGACATGTGTTTGTGCGTGCGTATTTCCTGCTGATGTGCTCGTTCCCAGAGTGCATCACATTTGTTCAGCTAGCCGTTCCACTTTAACACACATAGAAAAAGCAAATCAGATGGGCGTTGGCCAAGTGGGCGATTCGTTACTTTCTTTGTTTTTTGCATCCTGCTTTCTTGTCGGCACGCTGGCCACATTGGTGGCAATCCCGTGCCAGGCTACAGCCACTCCTATGCCAAGGGCGCCCGATTTCAGCACACCCTGGTAATGTTTCGGCAGCCGAGGGCGCATGTCATCTCCATGTACGAGCACTGCAGCCCGCCCAAAAAGGATTGTCCACGCAGACGGTGGAAAAGCAGTCCCCGGACACATACACTCGCGATCTTTTAATCGTGTGCTGAGCACAGGACCTCATCCACGAACACGCACTCTCTTGGCCCGTGGTATCGCTTTGTTGTGCGGGTCACACACACACACATTGCCCAGAGCCAGTGCTCAGAAGTCCTGTTTGTCCCATATTTGTTTCTGTGCCGGGCCGCATGCCAACTCACGCTCAAAGACTCTTACAATAAGCACACACACACACCCACACATCCACCCACCCACCCACCTACCCACCCGCCCGCCCACCCGCCCGCCCGCCCGCCCACCTTCCCGCTCACCCGCCCGCCCGCCCACTCGCCCGCCCGCCCGCCCGCCCGCCCGCCGCCTTCCCGCCCACCGCCCGCCGCCCCCACCCACCCACGCCTGCCCACGGCACACGCACACGAAGTTGTTCGGCCGAGGCAAGACCAATCCACTGCACAGCTGGTTTCTGAAGAACAAATTCTCCCAACCGCACCTGGGCAGATGCTTGCGGATTCGAGAGACTGTCCCAAAGAGTGAGAGTGAGCAGATCTTAGGTTGTAACTTTTTCATGTTTTTGCCTGCTTCTGTGTTGAACTGGTTCGTCCCAGCTGGAGCGAGCTCAGGCACAACCCAATGCCGGACACGCTCAGCCAATGGATCCATGCCTGGAAAAACAATCCAACCTTTGGTTCATATGCCATTGACCAGGAGCGATGTGCCAAACTTGCGGCATTTGACAGCTATAGAAAGTGGCAGTCGGGAGTTCACGGCAGCATCCTTGCAGAGTTTGGCAACATACTCGATCAGAGAAGGGTATCAAGCGTGAGATGTTGGAGTTAACTTGTCTAGGTCCCAACAAACCAGCCTAGCTGTGTTGAATCATTCACAGGCCACAGGACTGAGAATCAACTGTGTCCAAAGAGAGCAGGCTTGCACGTCCTGTCCCGGCAGGCGCCATTTGCTTGCTACAACCCCATCAACCTGCAGACGCGGCGTTTGACTTGTTCCAGCGAGAACGACAACCCGCGATCTGTGACAGTCGAGACTGCGGTGACAAATATGCAGTCTGCCAGTGTCGTCGGTCTGGCTGCTCGTCCAGTGTACACCTCTGCCTGCTGGTGTTTCCTCTTTGAATGTGCCTTAAGGTAGGGAGCCTATTTTTGAGTGAATGACAGGACTCCCCAAGAGGAAGCAACCTCCACCCATTTGGCACTAGCTTGGACCTGACTCTTGTAGACTTACTTTTATTCACATGCATGCTCCATGGCAATCGACCGGTCGATTTCCTGAGGTTGAAGCTTACCATGAAAGCATATGCCTAGTGGCCGCTCAAGCCCCTCGGAGGCGCAAATATCTAGTCGATTCGTTTTTTTTTGGCTGTTGGTCAAGGCTCGGACACGTGTTGTGGGGAACCTCATAGTGCTGCTTGCTCAACTGGAAGGCGCCAAAGCCATGGAATTCCCTTCAGCAGACGGACTTGCGACTGTGTCAACATTAGGGCCTGTTGGGAGGGTGTCTAAACCACACTAATCGGAAATCAGCCATTTGGATGGATCCCCAATTTTCACATCGCCAAGTGGGCATTTAGCTGTTTGTTTCTGAGCTGGTGGCTTGTGGCCTTTGCAGCTGAGGTGCTGCAGTCGTTACCCAGCCATTGCCACTGCGAGGACTCGGACGCCTGGCAGAGCTTCAAGGCCACGCATGAGGCAGGGAACTTGGAGCACGTGATCGACAGCGTGCGGTCGCCATTGCGACAAAGAAGTGCAACCCACTCACGCCTTTACAGGAAAACCCAGCAAGACACTATGACAGGGTCAAGTCTTTCCTCTCTTAGTCGGCACAACTCTCACGGGCAGCAAAGGCCGACATTTTAGCGCTCAAGCCCATGCGTGTTGAAGTGCCACTTCTTCTCATGCAGTATGCGCATGAACCTTCTGCTTGTGCACAAGGCTCGATAGTCAGAGTATCTTACACATGTACAAGCCAGGGTTGCGCAGTTCACTCCGGTGGCCTTGCACTGGCTCGTACCTACTGGGCATTGCCACGTCACCGTACGGCTCACCGTGCTTGTAGAGCGCGATTGGTTGAAGCGTCGTTTCCGCGGATGCCAGCATGATAATTTGTGAGGCGAACAGACTGGCGGCAAAACGACACAGAAAGAGAGAGAGAGAGAGAGAGAGAGAGAGCATCAGCGTGCCGGCTTTAGAACTTTGATTTGCATTCAAGACGCACCGCGCATAGACTTGATATTTGGGGCGATCTTGGAAATGTTGGTCTCAGCAAAGTCGCGCAGGAGCAAGTGGACTTGGTCCACTTGAAGTCTTGCCGGTTTGGCTCAACAGGTTCCTGCGGTTCCTGTGCACCCGCGCAAGGACCACGGCAATGCGCACCAGCTGTCCTTGCGGGAAGTCCGCGCGGAGGTTATGCAAGAGGTGGATGCCCTCACGGATGCCGCTCAGTGAAAAGGAAACTGGTTCGGGAGCGGCCAAGAACCAGGATAGCATTTGCTGATAGCTGGCGAGATGTCAAACAGGGTAGACATGCTTGAATCATTTTGAGTCATTTGCGTTGCGGCAGCTTTTCAACTGGCCAATGAATCGGGCCAAGCCCACAGGAGCATTTTGGGAATACTACGGATTGACCCTGGAACTCGACCCCGGATTGGTATCTTTTGGTGCTACATGTTTCCACTGGCAGATTGTGGCAAGCCGCAAAGGGGATGAGGAGGAAAGCAGCCTTTAACCCTGGCGCACAGTCTGCTGCCATGTTTTCTTGATTTCTTGCAAATTCCAAGTTTGTTCGGTCTAGGTCACGCCAACCCCCTGTTGCTAGGCAGGTTTCTCTGCCCAGCCTGCCTGCCTGCCTGCCTGCCTGCCTGCCTGCCTGCCTGCCTGCCTGCCTGCCTGCCTGCCTGCCTGCCTGCCTGGATGCGTTCGTTGCGTACCTGCATGCTTGCCTGCCTGCGTGCCTGCGTGAGCCCGCCTGCGTGCGTGTGCGTACGTGTGCTTGTGGTGCTCGGGCACCCCTTGTGGCATTTTGGCTGAAAGCCCGAGGATGGCAGAAGCCAAATGTTGGCAGCCTATTTGCATGAGAAAGCAGTGACCCACTTGGCCATACAACGACCTCCCCCAAGGACCCTACTGGTAGTCAGCAAACAAGCCTCATTTGGAATACTGCAGATCAGAACCCCCCCGTGGGGCCGCTGGGTGTCTGCACATGTCTGCACACCTTGTCAGTGGCCAGCTTGGCGTAAACAGTGAGCTGCAGGCAGATAGCACGCTCTACAAAGCGGCGCTGGAGCGGTTCCTGAAGGACATCGAGGCCGCAGAGCGGCGCTTCAGCACGAGGATCTTGTGTCCAGGACGTGGGCAGAGGGACCCCCATGCTGTTTTGGGGGTTCGTGGGTGTTACGGCGTTGATTCATTGATGGGAGCTGTTTCTTCAACGTGACGTTGACAACTTGGCTTGTCTCCCGAAGGACGCCGGCAGATGCTCCAAGAGCAGATACTTTAACTCCTGGACCTCAGACAAAGAGGTATGGCGTTCACTGAGAGCACGTGGTGTCCCAGTGCTTGAAAGCAGGCCAGTAGAAAAGAGGAAACTAGACAGCTGTCTTAGACCTTACCATTGGCTTGGAAGCTGTCAAACGAGAGCACAGCCATCCGCAGAACGGCTTGTACGGAAGGAAAATCAGAGTGATGCTCGATGAAGCAACATGCCTCGGTCTGCCGCGGGCACTAGCAGCTTTTGAGCACAGTCAAGGCTGCATCCCAAAGTGCAGGATGTGCCCGAATCTTCCCTCTGTCTTGGAGCTTCCGCAGAAGCAAGCTTCGTCAACAGTGCGCCAATCCATTGCTGTTGGCAGTGCGTGTTGCAACATTAGGGCCCCCAGACACAATTTGACGTTAGCACTCTCAAAAGCCACAGAGTCATTGATGCGAGGAACGCTGAAGTCTTCCAGTTTGGACACTTATGCGGCTCATTCAGGAACCATGGATGGCATTAAACCAGATCATAGCAAGTTATTCAAACTGAAAGGTAGTGTTGAGAGCTGGAAAGAACGTTTTCTGCTTGATTCTGCGCCAAGGCCCAGCGGCTTTAGCTTGTCGGGCGTAAACTGTTGTTGTTCTTGACAGCGGACCGCTAGCGGACTTTTGCCTCGTGCTTTGTGGCCACGGTGTGCATCCCAAGGCGCTGCAGGAGTCCAACCAGAGTCTTTCAGAGCTCAAGAAGGACAATCTGCAGCTGCGAAATCCTTGCTTCATTTGAAGGCCCTTGGCTTCAAGTTGTGATTTTGGAAATTTTAATTTAACCGACGCAAGCGGCAATGCAGATTTGCTGAACAGGACATCAGAAGCACCCAGCCAACAACCATGGTTACACGTTTGGTGTTGGAAGAAAACCCTGGCACAAGAAAGGCATCATGAAGGAAATGGTGGGCTGTGAATCACATGCTTTCTTGACAAGTTCGCCTGGAATTGCTCGGGTTTGCTATGCTTAAGGAGTTGAAACGCTCGCACATTCTCCACACGGTCAAGGTAGCTCGAGTACGCATCCTTCTTTTTCAGCGCTCTAGAATTGGACAGCTCTTGACTCTTGAGCGACACCTTGCTTTCTCAGCCAGATATCTCAAATGATATGTGGCACGATTCCCATGAACAGCAGTCTCTGAGCGATGCCTTCAGCAATACCTTGCACACACACACACACACACACACAGAGGAGCAGCCAGCGGACTCAGTTAAACCTTGCGAAAGTGCTGCACCTGCCCGTGCGAAAGTGCTGCGCCTGCCGCGTACCTGTCCTTGCAGAAGTGCTTCGCCTGCCGCGATATCTGTACCTGACCTTGCAAAAGTGCTTCGCCTGCCACGAAATCCGCACGTGACCCGTGACCTTACGAATTGCTGCGCCTGACACGAAATCTGTACCTGACATTGCGTAAGTGCTGCGCCTGCCACGCAAGCTAATGTTGCAAAAAGAGCTCGCGTCCGTGGTCCAAAACCCGACCACACGACACGATCAGGGTTGCGCTTCTTTGACATGTCTATTCCCACCAGCACACGCACGCGCGCTGTTTTTCCCGCACGCTTGTTCTTCTCGCGGTTTTGTGTCAGAAAGCTAGCTGTTGCAGTACCACGGAGTTTCCTTTTAAACTTCCTGTGATTAGAATGATGCTGAGAACCGTTTCCAAGATTTGACTTGGAGCCATTGCTCGATTCCCTGCAGCATAGCTGGAGGTAGCTTCAAATTTGAAAGGACATTTTTAGAGCAATGGCTCAGACATACTTGCCATGATGCCTGGGGCAGTTCTGCGAACTCAGCAGAATGCTCTGAACGATGTGTTTGTGTGTGTGTGTGGAATAATATTCTTGATAAACATGAGCCATTTTCTGAGCAATACCTACATCATGACATCCATGGGGTCTTTTGCGCAGAGAGCAAGGTCATGTGGATCTCAATGGGCAGGCTTCTCCAAGCAACCGCACGCAGTGAGTTGCTTCTGTTTGCAAAGTACAAGCAACAACGCAGCAGCGACCCGCAGCACAGCACCGCTGGCAGCAATGACAACAACGCAACAGGCGCTGCACGAAACGTAGTGAAGGAAGCTGGCCATGGAAGGGGGATGTTTGTAAGTCGCTTGCAAGTTTTGCCTTGCGGTGCACGTTCACTTGGCCGTTGAAGGCCAGCTGGGGCCGATGGCAACCGCAGGACTTGCAGAAGTGCGGCAAGCGCTTGGCCGAGGGCTTCTCACAGACAGCCGAGCTCATGTCAGAGGCAGGCTCAGTACATCCCGGCAGAACTTCAAGGAGCCACAATCTTGAGAGCGGCGCACCTGTCTCAGGTTCCGCGACTGGCGCGGGACTTGCAGCAATCCCTCGGCAATGAGGCGCTGGATTTCTTGAAAATGGTTGGCTTCAGTTGTTTTTTGCTCGCCATTTGCAGTTGAACATTCCTTCAGACGCACTTCGCAGAGGCTTCTTTTTGTGGAGTAATAGCTATGAGGAAAACAAGTCTTTCAGTTGTTGACCTTTTTGTGGCAGCTTCAGGTGCTGTTTTTCTGCATTGATGCCGTCCTCCTTTACTTAAGTAGCACACATGCACGAAGAAAAAGGGAACTAGTGCGACAGCAACACAAAAACAACAACTAACAGAAAGCAGAATTCGCAGAGTACAACAAGCAACCTGCACGCAGAAAATGTAACATAGGAGAAACACGGGGCGACTGTGGAGCAGTTCCAAGTTGAAAGCATTGCGAGATCAAGCGCAGGTAGAACATGCAAGAGCTCCGCGACCTTGCGCCTGAGCTGTGCGAAAGAGATTGAGTCTGCGAGCCCTCTCCGAGCTTTCTTTAAGTACTTTTTGCCATCTTTTTGCCATTGAGATGAACCTTGGCATTTGGGTACCCGGAGGCGCTGCGCCGAGAACTGGAAGCGGCCTTAGAGGCGCACCAGGAGCTGACCAGTCGAGTCAGGGTGGGTTGGAGGTGGGGCCGGTTTGCCGCAAATTCCCCCGCAGAGGTGTTCCTCGCAGACACGAGGGAATCCATCAATCACTTGAACAAGCTAAGCACTTGCGTCAACCCGGCTCACCCTTTGATCGACCTAAATACCTAGCCTAGAAGGCCTTTTCTTGCTCGCTTTCCATATCGGATGTCGACTTGCAAGTATGGGTAGCTTGCTGATATGCGAGAGCCGTAACAATTGTCCACAATCATCCCAACTGCCGAGTTTGCCAACGTGCTTCCGGGGCGGGGGGGGGCCAAGATTGGCCAGTGGGCGATATCTTTCAGGGCTGAGAATGGATGCAAACTGATCATGAATTGGTTCCTCACATCGTCTTGGAACGCAAGCTGACAGGCCAATGACCATTGTGGGGATCTCTTTGCGCAAGGAGTGCAGCGCGCAGGCCGAAGACCTTTGGCACCTCGCTGAAGCAGGCCGGATCCAGAGCCGGACCCTCGCAACATGGGCCATTTTTCTCGGTCAAAGCGAAATGGCCTTGGCTCGGCCAAGTCTGGCAATAGCCGCTTTCAAGACGTATCTTTTCTGGGGCAGGATCCAATGCCCTCTTGCTGATGCGAATGTGCTGCATGCCCACACATGATGCCGGTTACCGTTTGGTTGAAAGGCTGCAATGTCGGCGCCCAGCAGCGCGAGTTGGAGCTGGAGCAGTCTGCATGCACTCAGCACGAGGAGGAGCACAACCTGAATGCTGGGCGGGGGCGGAGCCAAGGCGAACTTCATTCCAGAGGATTGACCCGTCATATGATCGAAGAAGATGGAACTGCGCTGGATATGCAACATCTGTGCACTACAGGATAAACCAATCAGACCAATGGCATGGGATAAACAAGGCTTTGGCTCAAGGCTTAGTCAATTTGGAGCACTCGCAGCTCTGTCGCCATGGCTGTGGAGTTGGAGGACACCCAGGAGCTTCTCACGGAGCAGCCGGTGAAGGCGAAGTCCTCTCGCTGGTACGTGTTGGGTGCCGTGGCAGCTGTGGTCTTCGTGGGATGCGTGGGGGTTGTTTCGGCCTCGCGCAGCCGCGCTCAGACCTTGGCCAGCAAGAAGGACTTGGTGCAGAACTGGGAGGAGATCCCTGGAATCGACAGAGTCGTCAAGAAGGCGGAGAATTTGGAGTTGAAGCAGCCCCTGCGCAACCTGAACGATCTCTTCTACTCCTCCCAGCCAGAGGAGCTGCCGTGGATCCGAACGGAGTGCGTCATTGATACGGTGCAGGCTGCCGCCTATCTGGGCCAGGCGGTGGTCTTCCTCTACAAGGCGATCGAGTACGACGGCCTGGAGTGCCCGGACAACACCCCTGTGGGCTGCGCAGTGAGTGTTGCTGGGTTCATCACGTCCATCACCTGGATCGCCTCGTACCTGTCCTTTGCCGCCAATGCCTGCGGTGCTGCGGTGAACTCGGGCGCCCTGTGCGCAGGTGACTGGACGGCCTTGATGGCCAACTTCGGGGAGATGGCCACTGTGGGGGCCGCAGTGAAGGACGACTGCGACTTCAGCACCGACTGGGGCTCCATCCTGAATCTCACCGACTCCTCGGGCCCTCCTCCGCCCATTTGGCAACAGTTCGTGCCTGCAGGGGCGGCGCCAACTGTGGAGACCTACCAGAAGGTAAAGGCTCTCCGGGAGTCGAACACCAACCGCAACATGGACATCACGCAGTGCGTTATGGACGTGACCAACTCGGCCTCTTACGTGGTCCGTGCCATTTTGCAGATTCGCTCCGCCACATCTGCATGCCCCGATCCCAAGGCGTGCGCAATCAACATCATGAACCTTGGCGGGGCCCAGCTACTTTAATGCTTCCGGCTCAGACCGCAGACATTCCAGGCCTGCTTACAATGTCAATGTGTCTTGCAGGTACAGTGCATGTGCACAGGACAGCATTTAGGCAGGGACCTGTTGTTTGATCTCGTTGGCTCGCCGCAGGACAGCAATAGGAAGTGCCCACGCACGACTTATTGCACACTACATTGAACACACACTGAGAACTGCCCAGCGTTTGCTACAAATTGGCTGCAATGTCAAAGAAGTTGAAGCACCGTGAGTGTTTTTTCGCTGCAAAGCTTTCAAAGTGGCGCATACTGCCACGCTCAGCGCAAACGTCTTGCGCGCAAGGCTTACTGTAAACCTCGGCCAGTATTTTTTTAAAGTGGCATTGGGGTACTGTGTTTTGGTTTGCCTTGAAGTGTTCTGTTTGTTTGAGCGAGTCCGCGCCGAAATGCGTGAACTGGTTTTCAAGGTTCGCGCGTTTCCACGTAGCTTCCCAGAACGAGTGCTGCAAGGCCGGGGGAATTTTTGGCGAGAGCTACATAGAAGGGCAGTGGACTGGGGCCCCGAGTCGGGTGTGACCGGTTTCAGAGGGGGTTGACGGGTTAGGGGAATTGGTCCGGTTTCTAGAGGGAATTTGTCCAGGCAAGGTTTGAGGGACTTTAGGTGTTTGACTCAGTGTTTGACCAGTTTCTAGAAAGAGGGAATGCACGGTCATGCATGGATCAAGGGCTCGCTTCAGAGGGCTGGAGGCAGCTGGAGTATGTGTTTGGGCCGTGCAGGGAAGAAACCCGCACCGCCTCCCAACTCTCAATTTTTCAGTTAAACCACCTTGCCTGCGCCAGACCCGTCAGAAATCCCGGAACCTCCGGAACCGTTGCTTGAACCTTACGTCTGGCCTGCGCCAAACCAATCGGCACCTTCGGCACGTTGCTTGAAACCTTGCGAGACCACCCCGGAACTTCTGGAACCTGACTCCAGGCCTCCCCTGAGCCGCCCCCAAACCTGGTTTGGGCTGAGGCCCCTTAGCTTTCAGCTGTTGGGGAACAACGCTCCATCTATAGTTGGCGGATAATCTTAGACTTTCATTTTTCGGAGTTCAGGTGTATTTTGGACTTTCCATTCATCAAACGAGGAACATCATTTCGAGTTTCGCGTGGATCTCGCAGTTCACGGCCCTGGCTGTCTCAGATTGCCCAGAGGGGGGCAACCAGAAGGCCTTGTGCACTGCGGACATCTCGGACATGGTCGCGGCAGTGACCAACGGCCCCGCCGCGGGAATCGCCACCACCTCGGACTGCGCTGACCTGCCAGACCCGGTGGAGGAGGAGAAGCACTTGCCCATGAACTGAGCACCTGTGATGCACACCGCCTGTAGCCACACACAGCTGGCCTTCCGGCTGTGATTCTGTCGGTTGGAGACCGCCTTTTCCATTCACCGGGGTCGCTACTTAAGCCTGCAATATCTTGCAATAGCCTTGCAGGCTAAGTAGCCTGGTGCCAAAGTCCTGCCAGTATGACTAAAATTTGAATCCAAACTGCGTGCCAGAACTATCTTGTTCCTACAGTGCAAGCCCCAGACTCTAGCATAGCTCTGCCCCGAGCCGAACAAAAAATCATCGGGGCGAAATCCCTGGTGGGCGAAGCTCGCACGGGCGGGGCATTGCTGCCTTTTGCAAGAAGTTGCATCCAAACGATTTTGCAGGGCTCATCAGGACCTTCACCAACATGGTGTGCCTGGCCTGAGTGTGCCCTGTGTTTTCTTGGAGTATCCCAGGAAGGCAGAAAAGCAGAACGTTGGCCAACCAAAGTTCCCATCCTGCTTCGAAGTGTTCCATTTTGCCTTGCATGATGTGCGGCCGTGCGAAGCTTGGCACCAACTTGTTGCGTTGCCCTGTTTCTTCATATTCTGTTGGTTTGCAGGTATGCCATGGGAATGCTCGTGCAGTCAGAGAGTCTTGCAAGGTAAAACGATTGAACCAGCACACGTGCGAACCACTGACGGTGAGTCGCCATGGGCCTTTTGCTTGAAAGGAGCTTACTCGCGCCTGCCGCCGGCTTTGTGATGTGGCTGGCAAGGCTTGGTGCTCGTCTGGCCAAGGGCACAAAGAAACGAACTTAGTGTGCCTCAAAAAGCGGTTTGGTCCCGTGTGCCAGGCAGGCGACAGGACGGGGGCAGGGTTGTTCGGAAGGCGGCAAATCTTTTTGGAACGTGGTCGGGCTGCAATGGTGAGATTCTCGCAGTGGTTCTGACCATTAGAGACGGGCGCAAATTGCATTGGCCATTTTGCGTTGCCCAGCTGCAATCTGCTCCGTATTCAAAAGTCAGGCTGAGCTACGCCTCCAGTTTCTTCTTGCATCGGCTTGGAGGAGCTACGCAGCCAAGTGGTCAGCGGTGGAGCAGAAGCTCAAGGGCCTCGGCTTGCCCGGAGCTCCCAGATGGCCGACGATTGGGTCCACACCTGTTTTGTATGTGCACGGCTCATAATGATACCCTTTCCCTTCTCAAACCATTTGCAACGCCTACGGCTTTTTCAAGACTTCTGAAGTGTTGTTTCGGCAATGGCCTTCTCGAAGGTATCGGCCACCCCACCCCCCAGCCCCGCAACTGTGCAGAATGTCGGCCGCCTGAGGCGGAGTGCCTGGGCTTCCGCCTTGGAGGCGACGGAGCTGCTGGAGGCAGAGCACCTCTGCCAGGAGAAAGCTGCAATCCGAGCAAAGCAACCAAGCGACTGTTGACGGACGAGGGGGATGTTCTTGTGTCGGAAGATGGTCATCCTTGCCGAAGGGGCCTTTTGTCAGGTTAACGTGGCCGCGGAGTATTTGGTTTGTCGTCAAACCTTGGATCCTGTCTAGGTGTTCTACTAGCACCGATACTTCAGCCGTTGCGGGGGCAACCCTATATATAGTAGTTCTGTGTTTGCAGTGTTGTGGTGACCACTGTTGCTTTCCTTGGCATTGACAATGTTGTGGTGAAGGTGTCTTGTCAGAGCAAGCCAACTTTGCATCTCACGATGCATGTTAGTATGTGATGGCCGTTTATGATGTGTTGTGCGGAGACTGCCGCCAGTTGTGAGTTAGAGCGTTGTCTCGGGGGCTAGTGCTGTGAATGCTGGCGATGCCGCCACGTGAACGACGCAATTCTTGCGCCAACTGCGCTGGCTTTTCCACCAAAGTTTGTGTCTGCGTGTGCGTGCTGTGGCTCATGCACTGGCTTCTACGGCACCTTGTTAGACTTGATGGCACAGGGGCACATTTCCCGGGTTGCCGTGTTGCCATTGCCGTGTTGCCATTACCGTTCTGTACTTCGGCTCTTTGTATTACAGCGTGACCTTTGCTAGGTTAATCCTTTGTAGAATCAAGCCCTGAAGAGCGACCTGCAGGCAGAGGGCAATGTACCAACCAATACCTCTCCATTTCCCCTTTCACTAGGCACCCCTTCTGACGCGGTTTGCTTTCACAACCCGGTAAAAGTGGGGGGTCCCACATGTCTAATTCTGATTGAGACTGCGTCCCTTCGTCCAGGAGAAGATCTCCAAGCAGCTGGAACAAGAGCTGAGGCGCCAGGCGCAGTGAGTTGGCGCGAGGGGGAGCGACGGAGCGGGAGCGACGGAGCAACCGGTGGAGCAGTCGACCAGACATGAGAGGCAGGCTGCGCTGCGTGCATCTTGAGGTGGGCGACGCTTGCCAAAGTTGTCTCCGTGGCCCCAGGCGCTGCTGGAAGCCGAGCTGGTGGCACCACCAGAGGCAGTTGGCTTCAGAATGGGCGCCATGCTGCGTGGCTGATGATGACTGGACAGGATGACAGGATTCTTGATCTTGCATCTGTGGATGGGATTCGCGGAACGGGGTTCGGAAGAGGCTCCTCCTAGGTCTCTTTCTGCCCGCGGAAAGTTGTTTCTCAACCAAGCACGCACATTGGCCTCAAGAGACACTGCTACACCTAGTGGAGCGTTTGCCAGGCAAAGCGCGCCTTGGCCTCCTTGCGTGTGGCAGCCCAGCATGCAGCATCATTGTTGTGCCAAACAACACAACTTGCCACAGAGGATTTCGGAAGAAGGGATCTGATTCCGGGAACAATCTCGGATGTCTACATATTTCTCCGCGGTGCATTTCAGAGTTTTGGATTGGGATGCTGGTTTGGTCAGAGCCCCAGGGAGGAGCTTTTGCCATGTCTCCTTTGGCAGCTCTATTGGGCATTGAGTGTCGCTTGTTTTAGGCACGGTGACGAGGGAGCCGCAAGCGCGGCTCCTGTTGTAGGTGACCTCGTGCCCATGTACAGTTTGGGGTGCGAGCCAGTGAGCCGTGGCAAACCCTGGAGAATTCCGCTATATTAGCTATATCTAGATGTCTCCATACGTCCATGGCAAGGGCTCGCATCCCTCCGCCAGCCTGCCACTCCGAGAGTTGGCCAGCAATTCGCGTATGGATGAGGCTGGTTGTTTTTCCCTTTCTTGTAGACGCTTTGTACCCTAGTTTGACACATACCCAAATGGGGCATGTCATGCATGAATTCTTAGATATATAATAAGGGCCCATGTGGTCAACAAACATGGCACAACGAGTCATGTAGTGTTTGAGCGTTTTGTGTTGTTTGGACGTCCTTGCAGATGAGCGAAGTTGGACACCTTGTAGCTCATAGGGTGCCCCCGCTGGAATGCTTCACGGCCAGCAACGCAGATGAATTAGTCAATGCACCGTGCCTGCAGCCTTGTGCTGTGCCCACAACTTGGCGCCCTTTTCACGGGAGGCCTGTTCTTGAAACTGCAAGTTGCCAGTCAATGGTTTTCACATTTTCCAAACTCGCCTCATCCTTGCAAATGATCCGCCCAAAGGCAGTGGTAGATCGTGCTGCATTAATTATGGTCGTGGAATCAACACCTTGGCAACTCTGATCTCCAAGCGAAGGCGTTGAGCGCCGAGGGATTTCACGGCCTGCATGACTCGCCGCCTTCCAAAGGAAGCCAGGAATTATGCAGCGTAGCTTAGAAAAGATGCGTTCTTATCTTGTTGTGTTTAAAGAAGTATCTGGAGTTGCGTCGGGAATATGCCACAGGAGAGCGGCCAGCTTGTCTACTTTGCAATCAATCAACATGACCCTCAGTGAGCATGATCCCTTGTCAAACATGGCTGTCCATGTAAATAGGGGATGGAGTGATTTTGGAATGCAACCATCACAGTTTCGAGGTGCCTTTCGTCGCTTCAGATTGCGACAAGGCTTCGCATGTTTTTTGGTCCAGCGCTGGTGCACCTCATGCAGCTGCCCTCGCCATATGTCCGATAACCTGGATTGCAGATGCAAATGCTGGGCCAGACTTCCTTTTCTGGAGGCGCCACCTCGGCTGTTGAGAAAGGTGAGGCAAACGTGGCCCCGCAGCATCCCGGTATGAGCACTGATGTTGCAGCTGGTGAGTGAAGGTGAAGGCCTCAGTGGACAATTGGGATTGCTGGCCTGGCAACTCTTGCAGAGTTCTTGGATTTTAAGCGGGTTGTCCGTTGCCACAACGGATTGGAAGTGGGTTTGGTGCCTGAAGCATTGAAGCATGTTTTGTGGCGTCAGTTCTGAGCCCTTGGCTTTGGCTGGGCATGCTTCAAGGCCGGCCATGGCGACGCAGCAGAATGGTTTGCAAGAGCAGTTGGACGGACTGCGCAGCAAGATTACGGAGCAGGCCGGGTGGGTGCCCTCAGCCCGCAACAACTTGGCCTCGGAATGGATCTTTGCAGACACAAGGCGCATTCTGTGCCAGTGCTTTTGAGCACTTGTCTATTTCTGTCACAAACTCTTTAGAGGTTCTGGATTGTCTGATCTTGCAGATGCTTCAGCTCCGCATGGAGCACTGGCTTCTTTGAGTTGTGAGTCAGCCATGGGATGGCTTGTATGTTGATTATTGCAGCGTTTGTTCATGAGTCCAAGACTGTTAATTCAGCCAGGACAAGAACCATTACAAGGTCGTCCAGAGGCCGCGGGCCCACTCACACACCGACCCACACCCACACCCACAACCACACCCACACGCACACCATCCACACCCACACGCACACGCGCACCCACACCCCACACCCTACACCCCACACCCACACCCACACCCACACCCACACCCACACCCCACACCCACACTCACACCCACCCACACCCACCCACACCCACACCCACCACCCAAACCCACACTCAAACGCGCACGCACACGCACACGCGCACGGATACGCACACCCACACCCACACCCAC